TGGAGGAACCCAGCAGGGAGATCAACCCACGCCATGGATTAGAAACTAAACTGCTGAGCTCTTTTCTACATGCTGACCGTTTTATTTTATTTTCTTTATGTTTTTAACGAGCAAGGGAATAATAGACAAACTCCTTTATAATGTGCTGCAGTTAAATCCAGTTAACCAGCACCTGACTAACTCCCGGAAGGAGCCGGGGCTCCGTGTCCCCGCATGCTGCTTCCTCACACCGCGCAGCCAGCTGTATCCTAATCCAGTCCCCGGTCTGCCTGCGGCCTACAGGCGGACACTCACCGGTAGCAGCTCCTTCAGGGAGCGGTTAACCGACACATCCTCCGGCTCCAGCTCTCCCTCCTCCACCTCCATCGGTTCGGCCTCCCGACCATCTCTGTCAGACTCGGAGTCAGAGTCCGACTCTGAGCGCTCCGAACCGCTGTCGGATTTCACCGAGACCTGCAAGCTGCGCACCGCCGCCATGATGCTAACTGCTACTGGGCTCCGTCACCATTTATTATCTTCTTCTTCTTCTGTGTTTTTCTGTGTTGCCCCCTAGCGTTCGATTTGTTTTATTGATGGAGTTGTTTTTTTTGTCCATACAGTTTAATAACGATATGATATTCAAAGTAAATGTATATTTATAATAAGTTTATACCTTGGATATTTTTTATTCATAAACATATGTATTAGTGATGGGTCCATGAAGCGTTTCGACACATTAGCAAACTGTATTGATTTTTGTTTTGATACGATAATTTGATGTCCTATATTAAATTCATATTTAAAACCAATGTTTGCTTTTAAGATAGATTTTTATGCAATCCATCAATTTGAACAGAAAACAGGAAACTTTAAGTGAGCATGTGGGACTAGGATTTATTTATTTATTTAAGATTACTACACAATTAACAGCAAACTAAGAATTCAGATAAGTTGAGTGATAACTAAGAGGAACAGGATGCCACAGCAAGAATATTAAATCAAATATGAGATCAGAATGATCCTGCTCGGCTAAAACCTTTCTTTTCCCTTGAGGATGATTTAGCAGGTGTTTTTCTTTTTTTGGCAGATTTGTTCTATTGACAGATGCACCTATAAAGACAGTTTAGTGTGTCAGTCAGTCTGAAACTATGGCAAGCCAAGAGGGCCACTGTTTGCGTCTAATTATCACACTGAGATTGAAACTCACCAGCTAAAAGCGCCCGTTTTGCGATTTTTTTTTTCACGTCTTTTACCAACAAGCACCACTTTTTACGTCCGTCATGATGACAAGCTCCGAATCAGGAATGTCTGTTTTGACATGTCACTACACGTGTCTTGGACGCGGGTCTTGCGGTA